TGGCCCCACCTGGTGGCCACCTGGTCCACCTGGCCATGGCCCGGCACCTGGCATGGCCCGGCACCTGGTCCGGCACCTGGCCATGGCCCGGCACCTGGTCCTGGTCCGGCACCTGGCCATGGCCCGGCACCTGGTCCTGGTCCGGCACCTGCCCGGCACCTGGTCCTGGTCCGGCACCTGGCCATGGCACCTGGGTCCTGGTGGCCTGGTCCTGGTCCGGCACCTGGTGGCCCGGCACCCTGGTCCGGCAACCTGGTGGTCCTGACCTGGGGTCCGGCACCTGGCCATGGCCCGGCACCTGGTCCTGGTCCGGCACCCCTGGCCGGCACCTACCTGGTCCTGGTCCGGCACCTGGTCCCGGCAACTGGTCCGGCTCTGGCCCGGCACCAGGTCCTGGTCCGGCACCCGGTCCTGGCCCGGCACCTGGTCCTGGTCCGGCACCTGGCCATGGCCCGGTATCTGGGCCCTTTCCGGCACCTGGGGATGTGCCAGAAGCTGTGAGTGGGCGTGTGTCGATGCCAGTAGATGGACATGATTTCGAGCCAGGGCTTGGGAATGCGCATGGTCCAGAACTTGCTCCTGGGCATGGCCCTGGGCACGAAGCAGCCCCAGGGCACGGGCCAGTCCCAGCGGAGTTCCAGCCCCTGCGCCCATATTCGGTGGCGAACGACCATCATGAGAGACTCGACAACTATCTCCCGCAGCAAGAAAATTATTTATATCCTAGTCAGCCCTTCTATCCTCCTCCAGACGATTTTCAATATCCTTCTGTCGCAGTCTACAGCCCCATCCCCGAGACAGACGGCCCTTCCGAGCAAGTATTTATCCCCTATAATCTGGACGAGGATCTTTCCGGTACGGGCTTCCCACCCCCGATGTTCCTACCCGCACGCGTCCACGCCGTCCACAAGAGAGCAACCGAAAGCGCCTCCAAGATGAAGGACCTCCTCCTCGCTGCCGTCTCCCAGGTGGACTCCGTCGGCTGCGGTCCCAAGATCCTGTGCTACCTGCGGACGATAACCTCGAGCGAGTGGACGCTTGAGGAGAAGTCTTTACTCAGCCTGTTCGCCAACAAGACTTCCAAAACCGCCAGCCCAAGCAGCGCCCCCTTCGTAGAGGCCATCGAACTCGGGACCAGTTCGCAGGACCCCGCGGCGTGTGACCTGACCTACCCCAAGTGTACGCCTAAGGGGGAGGAGCTCAGGAAGCTCCTTAAGATGGCGGGAGCCTGTGCGAATACAATCATTTAGTTTTTAAGGTTTTCATAATCGACTTTTACTCAGGGCTTTAATTCTCTGCTGTTGCCATCATGATCATTGTTATCATTATAATTGCCTCTACGATCGTATGTCTGCCTACCTAGTTATGTAAATAACATACATAACGATCCTATATTCAAAATGAGCACAAATGGACCTTTTTACCAAAAGGAATACTGTACCGCTTTGTCCACCAAATCACACTCACACATATGCACATATAATTTTAGTTAGCAATTTCTTAATTTATTCGCTCATCTGTTTCATTTTTATACGCATATTGGTATTAGCTACTGAAAAAAGCCATTTGTATGTAATGTCATGTCACTATTTATTTATGCGGGATATACTGTGCATTTTACAAGACTTTAAATAAAATCTTAGAAAAAAAATCAAGACAAAAAGGCTTACTTCCCTGTATCATCGAGCATAATGAAGCTTGCCTGAAAAAAAAAGAAGGAAAAAGCACACAGAAAAAAAGAAAGAGTGAAAGAAGAAAGGAAGAAGGGAAAGAAAAACAGAAAGAGGAGAAAAGGGAATCTTTTGCTTTTCTTCTCCATCTTCATCCTCCTCCTCTTCTTGTTCTCCTTTTCTCCATCATTCTCTTCTTCTTCCGCTTCTTTTACTCTTCCTTCTTCCTCTTCTACTTCTCCTTCGTCATCATCTTCTTTTTCTTCTGTTCGTTTTTCTTCCTTTTTTTCTTCTTTCCCCCAAATCAACACCAGCCTGTCCAGCGCATCCTCGCTTCGACAGGATAAAGGGGAAGAGAAAAGGAAAAAGAAAGAAGCAGAGGAAGAAGAAGAAAAAAGAAAGAAAAAACGAAAACGAAGAAGAAGGAAAATATACAATAAGAGAAAAGAAAACTGAAGAGGATAGAAAAGGAAAGGAAGAAGACGAAGAATAAAAAGTACAGAATAGTCTTCAGTCGTTCTGTGCGACTGACAACACTCGACACTCTTTATTTATTTTATTTCATTTCTTTATTTGTGTGTGTGTGTGTGTGTGTGTGTGTGTGTGTGTGTGTGTGTGTGTGTGTGTTTAGTCTGTGTGTGTGTGTGTGTGTGTGTGTGTAGTCTGTGTGTGTAGTGTGTGTGTGTGTGTAGTCTGTGTGTGTGTGTGTGTGTGTGTGTGTGTGTGTTGTGTGGTGTGTGTGTGTGTGTGTGTGTGTGTGTCTGTGTGATGTGTGTGTGTGTTGTGTGAGTCTGTGTATGGGTTGTGTGAATGGGTGTTATGTTTATTGACCCAATCAGGTGCTAATGTTCTGTAGAATCATTTTGTTCTTATGAAGCAAACAACTATTTCTGCTTCTGCTACTTCTACCATTTATATTTTCTTACATTTCCTGTATCTCTTCTGAATGTAAACAATGATGATGATAATACAAATCATACAGAAAAATTATAATAATCATAATAACTATAATGATGATAATAATGATAATAGTAACAGTAATAATGATAACTACTATGATGATGATAGCGAAAATCACAATGATATTATTAACGAGGATGATAATAACAGTCATAATGATAAGGACAATGATTTTAATAATAATGATAGTGATACTAATAATAGCACTCATACAAATTTAAATGTAAATGGTAAAACTAATACTGGTAATGATGATGACAACGATAATGATATTAGTTTTAATAGCGATATCAATGATAATGATGATTATGACAATAATAATGATAATTATAATCATGGTGATGGTAAAAGTAATGATAATCATCAACAGCAACAACAACAATGATAAAAATAAAAATAGTGATAAAAATTATAATGATAATATAGATAATAATAATAATGATAATATTTATAATGATGATAATAATGATGAGGGTAATGTTAAAAAGGAGGATAATGATACTGATAACAATGATGATAATGATAATAAAAACTATAATGATAGTTACCAAAACAATGATAATAGTAATAGTATGAATAATAATGGCAGTAACAATACTACTACTACTAATAATAATGATGATGAGAAATGATATAATGATGATAGAAATATAACATAATTATGAAAACAATAACAGTAATAATAATAATATTAGAAATATTAATGATAATGATAGCAGTATTAAAAGTAATAACAAATACAACTACAACAATAATAAAAAAAATAATGATAATAATAATAATCATGATGGTGGTGATGGTACTAATGATCATAAAAAATAATGATATTAATAGTAGTAATGATAATAATAATAACATCAATGATAATAACAATGGTAACATTTGTAATACTAACAATCGTGATAATAATAACAATAGTAAGGATAATGATAATAACAACAATAACAAGAAAAATGACGATACTGATAATGATGATGATAATGATACTGGTAATGATATTAACAACAATAACAATTATTGTAACAATAATGATAGTCACAATAACAATGATGATGATGGTAATGATAATAAAATTAATAATAATAATAATAATAATAGTAAAGATGATAACAATAATAATGATGATAGAGATGATAATGATGATAATAAGGATGATTATGATGATGATAATGAGAATGATGATTATTATAATAAAAGTGATGATGACAATAACAATGACAATAATAATAATAATCATTATAATGATGATAACAGTAATGACCATCATAATGATTGTCGGCGTCAACTTCAAATGATGATGATGGTGATTGTTAATAATCATAATAACAATAGCAATGATGATTTTAAAGAAAGTAATAATAATGATGATAATAGTAATAGCAATGATGATGATAACAACAATAATAACAACACTAATAATATAAAAAAATAATGATGATAATAATAATAATAACAACAATGATAATAAGGATAACAAGAATAACAATAATGACAGTAAAACAATAATGATAATAATAATAGTCACAATAGTGATAATCACAATCAGGGATAATTTCAATAATGATGATAACTATAATTACAGTAACAGTAATTCTTGTTGCTATCAAGATAACGTCTTTCAGTAGAGAATCGTGTTCTTGTATTGGTGAATGCAGACAAACATGGGAAACAAAGATTGATTCATAAAAGAAAAGATTTGTTCTTCAAAAAAACAAAATGCACAAGAACCTGTATTTCTCAAAAGGACTTCAAGACACCATGTTTTCTCTCTTTCAGCCATTCAGAGAATATTTGGAATTGCCATTATTCCAACCTGGGTTTATGTTTTTCACTTGTATTTGGCATCGTTCCCTACATAGTCGTGTGGCCCAGCGGACGAGTGGCATGCCGCGTGACCTTCCCCTGCCATTGGAGTTTTCTCCTCTTCATCACAGAGGTTTACCATATTGCGTATTGTGTATACGTGTTGCATTTTAAGTGTGTGGATGATGGTTATCGGTATTGGCAAACTGGTAATCGTGACACACATAGCTGGTATCATTCTATATAGAAAACTTTATGTGAACACGAAAACGGGATGTTTTCTATTTGTAAAGCAAATGTAAATATCCCTTTTCTTCATAAATACCATAAACGAAAATTTAAAGATCCTCCGTCGAAGACATAAGGAAGGGGTAGTCATGAAAGTCATGGAGCTTTTACAACTGTGTCACCGAGGACGTCATGCACCCTCATGAATCAAGTAGGAGGCGCTGATGCCCTTAACTTTCCTGATCAGGTGGTTCGCTGTGGCACCAGTCGCCTCCAAGAAAGTCGCTGGGAGAGCTGGTGAAACCTACGGCTGCGCGACGGCGTGTATATAAAGGTACACCTTTGTCAATTTCACCCTGTTCCTCTCCTCCCTTCCTCCCGCGCGCCTTGCCTTCCCACAGCAAGGTACCGTGGAGGGCCTATCTCATATTCATTGCTACGTGTCTTAATAATCGCATTTCTAATTTACCCGTTTATGATTTACATGTACAGGATAGGCACAGGATAATATGACCTCTTGTTCCCCTTTCTGTTAGGAAAAGGGATAGACACACATCCGGGAGTAAACAGGATAATACCCGCTCTCGATTACACAGATGCATAACGGTGCAACTGTTACCGCAATGGCATACTAATCAGCTCAGTGGTACCATGATCTGCCGCTTCCTTCGCCTATGGGCTAGGAATAAAGGTTCTTCCCACTAAGGAAAATCAAGAGGGAATAATACAACGGCAAAGTGGATAATAAAACTATGCAGCAATTTAGGGGATATAAGTGTCACATGTACTTAAACGCGTGATATAGTACACAGAGTGATCACATGATAGGGGAGAGTAGGGGTCTGATTTACATTCCTTTGTCCGCACTTTCTCTGCATAGGGCTTAGTTGAAGTCATGTGATGACGATGAAAGACCCCTACTTTCACATTCCCTTTCTACTACAGTTGATCATGTGCTTACCGATTAGTGAACATCGGAATATACCCCATTGCAGGTTACATGTGAAAAGTTTAAATATTATTTAAATATCATTTTCTTTTACGTCTATCTGTTACGCACTAAACCCTTCTTATCTGTCTCCTCGTAGATGCGGTTGCAGTTGGTTCTTTGTGCTGTTGCTTGCTGCTTGCTTCCGCCATGCACTGCTCAGCTCCTCCAAGGTCTAACGGCTGCTGGCATTGGTGGCCCGGTCGCCGTGGGATCTCTCTTTACTCTCAATGTACGTGAATATTTCATAGCATGCAAAGAGGCAGCACCATGTATTTAAATCAATCTTCATTAGCAAGTGGATTGGTACTCGTGCTGCATTGAAGTTTCTTTGTGTAGATATGTATGTATATATATAATATATATATATATATATATATATATATATATATATATATATATATATATATATATATATATATATATATATATATATATATATATATATAGACACACACACACACACACACACACACACACACACACACACACACACACACACACACACACACACACACACACACACACACACACACGTATATATATATATATATATATATATATATATATATATATATATATATATATATATATATGTATATATATCATATATATGTATAGCTATATATATATATATATATATATATATATATATATATATATATATATATATATATATATATATATATATATATATATATATATATATATATATATATATATATATATATATATATATATATATATATATATATATAGTTAGTAGTATATATATATATATATATATATATATATATATATATACTGATAGAAAATTAATTTCGTAGCAATAAGAACAGTACATCCCTTCGTACGAATACAAATATTCATGAATGACTCACTTTCATTCCAGACGGCTATGCTCATCGCCCTCATATTATCCTTCGGAGGGAGACAGAAGAAACTGCGGCGCAAGATCGGGCGGCCCATCCTCGTGCCATACCAACGGAGCAGCTACACTTCCTACAGGATGGCGAAGTCGATCTCCGGGCCCGACACCGACTCCCTCGAGGATGAAGAAGAGCTCCTCCTCTCAGCCATCGAGGAGCTGGACACCTTAGGATGCGTCCCGAAGATGCTGTGTTACCTCCAGACCAAGAGCCGAGACCAGTGGAACGCCGAGGAAACAGCGCTCGTCGATACCTTCAGCAACACGACCAACGCTGCCTTCCTGTTCGCCCTCGACCTCGGCAGCAGAGGACCCAATCCTATAGTTTGTGATCAGGCATATCCTAAATGCGCTTTGAAGGATGCTGATCTCAGGGCTTCCTTACAGACGGCCGGGCAATGTAGTTCTTTTCTTGAGTCAATACCTTAGTTGGCAATTCTGATTATTAATGGCATTAAGCTGCTTTTCTAGTTCTTAAGCTTGCTATGATAAGCAGTATGTATGGTGAGAGGCCAACACAAGGAGGAGGTCATGAGTACAATGTTTTATCTGTTGTGTAGCCATATCTTGTTAATTTATTCACTATTTATTTATTTTGTTTTACATTGTTGCGTTTTCATAATAAACGTTTAGACAATACACTCGTCAATACAACCTATGACTTGGTCTTTCATATTATAAAAGCATACAAAGAAAAAGACAACGAAAAAAAAGAGAGGGAGGAAGAGAGAGAGAGAGAGAGAGAGAGAGAGAGAGAGAGAGAAGAGAAGAGAAGAGAAGAGAAGAGAAGAGAGAGAGAGAGAGAGAAGAGAAAGAGGGTGAAAAGAGAAAGAGAGAGATTTAGAAAAGAGAGAGAGTGACACACAAACCCACAAGTGATATGTATACCCCACGTCAGAGTGTTTCGATGAGCCTTCATCCCTTTAGAAACTCTTCTTGCATTAGCGATTCACCGAAGTCGCAATATAAAGAGCCTTTCCAGTTGTTGTGGCCCCACTACCTCCTGATAACTTCTCGTTGTAACATCTTCCCCGTAAGCATGGTAAGGCAGCCTCATCCCTGAGTGAAATGATCATGTGTAGAAAAGAAATGGTCACATTTCAGTAAGACATTTTAACTTGTTAAAAAAATCGCCATACAAAAGACATGGTAAAAAAAAAATCGAATTTCAGCAAGCCATTTTATTTATCACCAACATTTTTATCCATCGGTTTATAATCGCATAACCGTTTTCCTTTCTTATGTCAGATGCGGTATATGTTCTTGGTCGCATGCATAGTCTGCCTGTGCCATGTGGCTCCTTCCGATGCCCTTAAACCCACGGATCTCTTGGCCCCCTTCTATGTGGAACGGCTGGCCAGAATCTTCATGGATAAGCTTGTGGCCTTCATGATGGCGTTGAAGGTGAGATACTCAGTATGGGATTCGCTCTCTCTCTCTCTCTCTCTCTCTCTCTCTCTCTCTCTCTCTCTCTCTCTCTCTCTCTCTCTCTCTCTCTCTCTCTCTCTCTCTCTCTCTGCTCCAGCAATGCATAGAACATTGATACCTTTAGTGAAGTTGTCCCCAACCTTTTCTTTTCTGTGGCTTCCTCGATCATTAGGTGTAGGTCAAGAACAGTACATAGAAAGATCCCAATTCATTGATATGTGGGAGATGATCCTCTGCTATTGCTGCAGGTGAGACAAAAGCTAGTTTAATTCGAAGTCAACTTTTATACGGTTCCGTGTCCCCCCAGAAAGTATCTCATGGCCTCTGGAAGGAAGAGAGACGGAGAGATGAAGAAAAGGAGAGGGGGAGAGGAAGATGGGGGACGGAAGGATTATCTTTTTTATCATTATATTGTTATGATTATAATTATTATTGTAATTTTCTTCATAAATATCATCATTATCATTACTATTACAGTTATATTAATTGTTATCCTAATTATAAATGTAATTTTCATCATTACAATCTATTTTTATAAATATATCAAAATTATTGTCAATATTAATGGAATTATCATGGAAATCATCATAATTAATGGAATTATTGTTAAAATCATCAAAAACACCATGGTAAACTTACAAAAAAAAAAAAAAAAAAAATCATGGCCTCTATGATGGGAACCCTTGGCTTAGTAGGATCTTACGAGCTCCATAGACCTAGGGGAGTCTGCAGAACTAAGATCCTAGTTACAAATTTTTGTTGAGTTGTGTGATACAACTGCTGCTGTACAGGTAAATTTGGGTCTTACCTGGTGTGGTAGAGATTCAAGTCATAAAGGGGGGGGGGGGGGTGTTCATAAAATGTTGTCTATCAAATTATTTTTTTGACATTTTGCTCATCATTGAATGGTGTATCAATTTTGTTTAACTGTTGTATGGCGTCTAAATATTATATAACTGATAATCAAGGAAAACCTGCCCTGTATCCGCTGCTTTACTTGCCAATAGCTAAAGAACGACCATCAAGGGATCGTTTGGTCATTTCACCTTTTTACGGGATCATAATTCAGCGCGTAATCAACTATACATAATAATTTATCACCCCCTTTTCTGATTCAGTACTATCTTCATTAATTAATTAATTAATTTTACAAATGCTGCATTCTTACACCATTAGTTCTGTAAGTTTAGGGAAACAGTATTATAATAAAATTACCTTCGGATTCAAATTGAGGCAACATTTCGGTGAACGCTTGCAATGGATATTTTAAGTAATCATCGAATACATATTTTTTATCGGATATATTCCATAGTCTTATCATGGTATCTGCCACTTCCAGGGCCTAGCCACTATCGCTCTTGCAATCATAGGAATTCTCGACCGGAAGAAAAATGGCAGGTCCTTCGCCAACGCAACCGACTCCCAAGCCCTCTTATTCTCCACATTAAGGTGGATGGACACCCAAGCCTGCGTCCCCAAGATGCTCTGCCAACTGGACCTGACTGCAGCAGCCACAAGGACACCGGAAGAAAACAAAATCGTCGAAGTTTTAACCAACAACCTGGATTCTTTTAGCCACCACGCCAACGCCTCTGCTCTGCGGCCCGAGGTTGTTGACCTACTGACCCGAGATCCCGAGGCCGATGTGTGTGGCGCCCTCTTTAGCCAGTGTCCTATTGAGGGGAAGCTGATGAGGGATTTCCTGCAGCTTTTGACGTAACGACGAGATTCATGTTCAGACGACGGAAGAGCCTATGGATACGTCTAGTCAAATGGAAATGAGGAAAGACTGTTATTTGGATAGGTTGCTGTGGTCTCCGTTTGTTTAATTATCTATTTATTTACATATTGGTAGAGTTACTATTATCTATTATTATATCCACATATTTATTAAGTGTGTCTGTTTACGTATTTATTAGGTATGTTTGTGTAGTCATTCATCAGTATTTATGCTTGGTATATCTATTTATTATCATTACATGTATATTGATTAACATTTTTGCACCTAATGGAGACAATATTAACTAACAATAATGTCAAATTATATTACTTGTGTATCACATATTTATTTATCAAATAAGTATCAATCAATAACTATCAACTATTATTTATCCTCCATGTACTGTATAGTAAAAAATGCATTGAATCATCACCGCTAAGTATCTATCAATAAAAGAAGACCTCATGATAATAAATTTCTCTCAAAATGACTCAAGATCTGCTGACCCACTTCGTCTGACAGGAATATTTATTGGCGTCTGAGAGAGGTGGAGAGAGAGCAATGCCTTTCCTTTCTGGGACATGAGAAAACCTGAAGATTCTGAACTTATCGTTTGCGTAATGGAGATGAGAGAGAGAGAGAGAGAGAGAGAGAGAGAGAGAGAGAGAGAGAGAGAGAGAGAGAGAGAGAGAGAGAGAGAGAGAGAGAGAGAGAGAGAGGGGGGGGGGAGGGAGGGAGGGAGAGAGATGGAAAGAGGGAGAGAGAAATGCATACGCTTAAATACACAGTATAAAATAGATGAATATGGAGATAGATACAAAGGCAGAGATAAAGTTGTTAGAAAGACAGACGAGGAGAGAAAAATCAGACAGAGAAAAAGAAAAACAAACAAAAAGAAAACGATTAGCCTAAACAGCCGAGAACAGAATTATCTTGTATTTACAAATATTGATAACACAAATAATGTAATTTATAGTGTTTACCTTTCTTCTCCTTTTCCCTTCATCCTCTTCTTCCTCCTTCACTTGCTCCTCCCTTTCTCTCCGCCCCTGCCTCCTTCACCCATCCCCCCTCTTACCTCTTTCACCGTTCCCATACCTTCCATCCTCCCCCCCCCACCCTCTTCCCTATCTCCTCTATCCTCCCCTCTCCCTCTCTTCTCCTCCTTCTTCTTTCATTTTATTTCTCCCTTCACATATTTATTTCACCTCCTTCCCTTTCCTCTCTCCTTCTCCTTCTCCTCAATATGCATCTGATTTCCACCGTTCCTCCTCGACGAATCTCATCTACCTTCTCTCTTATTTCTTTCAATTTACTCCTCCTCCATTCCCATTTCTGTCTCCCACTTTTCCCTCCTTCATCCTCTTCTTCCTTCTTATCTTCTTCCTTATATTCCTCCTCCTGCCAACTGCCTTTCTCTTCTGTAATCTCAACTTCTTTCTCATCTTCCTTCTTCTTTTTCCTCTTCCTCCTCCTCCTCCTTACCCTCCCTTCCTTTTTCTCCTCCTCTCCCCTCCTACTCCTCCTCCTAACCGCCTTTCTCCTCTACCGTCTCGTTTTCGTTCTCTTCTTCCTTCTTCTTCTTCTTCATCTTCCGCCTCCCCCTCCTCCTGCTCCCCTCCCTTCCTCTTTCTCACCTCCTCTCTCCCCTTCTTCTTCTTCTTCTCTCTTCTTCTCCTTCTCCTTCTTCTCTCTTCCTCCTCCTCCTCCTCTCCTTTCCTCCTCCTCCTCTCCTCCTCCTCCTACCCCCTCCTGCCTCCCT